TGCTCTGTCCCCCCCCCCCCGTAGGGGGGCTGCCTCATGTGCTTCTTTTTACAAAAACTCGATTGGCAGCTCCCCCTGACCCTGCTGGGCTTTTCCCACTGGCTCCAGTCAGCTGTTTCCTCTCTAACCTTCTGGAGACTGCCTCATATGTTTACAAACACTTGAGAGAGGTTCCGTGTGATCCGCAGTTCTCCCCCCCCCCTCCAAATCTGATCAGTTGCAATCATCTCTGCCCTCTGCCTTGTTTTTTTACAAACACTTGAAAGAGGTTCAGTGCGATCTGCAGTCCCCCTGCCCCCCCCCCGGAATCTGATCAGTTGCAATCAATGCTCCCTCTAAGCGGTGGAGTCTTGAGATAAAAATGGGTGAGCCGGAGGCTAAAAACCTGAACTAGCTCATGCTAACTCAGTTGCAATGGTTGCAATCATCTCTGCCCTCTGGAGCCTGCCCTGTTTTTTTTACAAACACTTGAAAGAGGTTCAGTGCGATCCGCGGTTCTTTCCCTCCTGAATCTGATCAGTTGCAATCGTCTGTGGCTGGGGTGAGTTGCTTTTTGACAAGTCAAAGCTGTATTTATGATTCTCTCAGTTCTGTAGGGTTGCCAGCTTCAGGTTGGGCAACTCCTGGGGATCTGGGGATGGACCTTGGAGGGGGTGGGACCTCAGCGCACTGTAATGTCATGGAGTCCCCCCTTCCAGGCATCCATTTTCTCCAGGGGAACTGATTTCTGTCCTTTGGAGATGAGCTATAACTCCAGGGGATCCCCCAGGCCCCACCAGGAGGCTGGCATCTGTAAGTTAGTGAGAGCAAACAAAAAAAAAAGTTTGAATACAATAATGATTTTTTTTAATAATTGTAGTCAGACTGCATTATATGATTCTCTGGTTGGTTGCTGGAGTGTTAGGAAGCAGCCCTTGTTATAATGGGCCCATGAAGTCCAGGCTTGCTTGCTGTATCTTTACAAGCATTGCGACCTTCCTTGATGCTTGGGCATTGCCTGATTGCAGTTTGGGAAGCCACTGTAAGGGGAAGCCTTCCCCACATGATAAAATGCCATGTGCAATTGAAGCGCTATTATAGCTAAAACCAAATAGCCTGACTGCTGTGAATTTGTATTCACAGGGAGTAGACAGGTGGGGGCTCCTGTTGTCTCAAACTCCAGGGTAGAGATGTAAAATTTCTGGAAATTTTGAAGCTCGGAAAAAACCCCATTTTCCCCCCAGGTTTTTTCGGAAAAAAACCGGAAATTTTCGGAAAAAATGAAAAAAATGCTACATTAGCACTTCTTTTTTTCTTTTCCAGATTGAAAGTCATTCTGTTACTTTAGGAACATAAAATATGACTATGGGCATTTTTACTTGGCATGAAATTATCACAACTAGCATATTAAACATATAGCGTATCCAAACAATTATTGCAAACAGAATACCCACCCACATGCAAAAACCCCCCCCAACTGAAACCTTTTTCTTTTCTTGTGACAATAGCACCTCCTAAAGGAAGAAATGCATCTTGTTCTTGCATTGGAGAGTTCAGTTTGTAACCTAGGACTTGCTTGTCCTCAGTGCACAGAAATTAGATCAATCTGGTACCATACATATTTTTTAGAAATGGTTTGGAAAATATTTGAACACCTTGTCTTAAAATATTTTATTCATCATGTTAAAATAAAATGTTCCATAATCAATTTTTTTCTTTTTCTTTTTTCAATTTTTCCAATTTTTCAGAAAAAAACAAAAAAGGCTTCAGGAAAATAAAACGGGGGGAAAATGTTTTTTTTCTGAATTTTTCCGGGCCTTCACATCTCTACTCCAGGGCATCCAGGCCACTATAAACCGTGGTGGGCAGCCAGGAGGGAAACAGTACCAGTGACCAGTCCGGTGAAGGGCTGGGGGTTTCTCCACAACCTCCAGAGATAGTGAGGGTGTGTAGGGGGACAGAGGAACGGCGTTTTAAATTGTGTTTATTTTCTGCCCAGGTTGTGGGCATGTTTATTTTCTGTGCTTAACTTGTACATAGTTAAAATAAACTTTTTTTTGAGTTAAATAAGACCTGGTGTGCCTTGACCACCTAGTCCTCCTCGCTCAGCACGTTACCAGGGTCAAAGGGAGGCTAGGGAACACAAATGGGCCCAAATCGGAGGGGTTGCCAAGTCTCCAGGGGGTGCCCAAAGATAGTGGTACCAACTTCCCAAGGGTTGGTGAATCAGCCAGAGGGGTCTCACTGTCCCACTAGGAAGGTGGTGTCAATTCAGTGAGTGGTGGCAGCGTGTAACGAAGGGAAATAGCCCCACCAGGCAGGGTGGGAAGGCCAAAACAGGGGCTTGCGAGCCACAGATTGGCTGCTCAGTCTCCCAGGGCTGACAGCGGGTCCCCGTTTCGCCACATTCTCTATTACAACACCCCTGTTATAACACATGACCTGGCCCAACAAAATCTCATTTATGTCAGATCCGGCCCTCATAACAATTGAGTTAAGCAACCCTGGGCTCGATGGCCATCTGACAGCATTGCTGTGAACTTAGGCAGATCATGAGAAGGAGGGCACGAAGGGTCGCCTCGGTGCTTAGTTCTCGTGGCCCTTTCCTGCACACCCAGGGAAATGCTGATCATCACTTTGGGGTCAGGAAGCAATTTTTCTCCAGGCCAGTTTGGTCAGGGATCCTGGAGGGGTTTTTTGCCATCTTCTGGGCATGGAACAGGGGTCATTGCAGGTGTGTGTGGGGGGAGGTATTTGTGAATTTCCTGCCTTGTGCAGGGGGTTGGACTAGATGACCCTGTAGGTCCCTTCCAACTCTGTGATTTTGTGATTCCACTTTTAATGGTTAGAAACATCTCCTTTTTTTTTTTTTTAAGAAAAAGAGAGTGAAATGGGCAGAGATTTATCAGGCTGTCGATGACTAAATTGTGCACCCAGTACATTCACAGATTCATCACAGCCCTTCAAATAGAGGCCGGTGTTTTGTGGGGAGGCGGAGACTGGTTTTAATTTAGATAAGCTTTGAGTTGCCTTCCCCTTTTTGATCCCTTTTGCTCCTTTATCAAATGGCAACGTGATCCCTTCTTAAGAAATTGTTGGGGAAAAAACATTCCATTGGGGTGACCTTCCAAACTTGCATCCTGAACAGGTCAACGTGCCGAGACACCTGCCCTTCAATGTCGGGAAGGTGAAGGAGGCGGCCTGTGGGGGGTCCATCAGCGCTGTCTTAAACGGTGAGCTTGTCTCTTTGGGGGGATTTTTTTTTAGGACTGCTTGCTTTTCGAGGATTATGGGGTGGCTCGGATCTTATATGGGCGGTATTTCTGCCACTAACGGACGTGAGCGGAACTCTTGCAGGGTCTGGGGGCCTCCTTCAGTTGCAGGCTGCATGGGGACAAACGACGGGCAGGCATCAGTGTTCCCTCTAAGCTGAGTTAGTGTGAGCCAGCCCACCGTTTTTTTAGCCTCCAGCTCACACCTTTTTGTCTTAGCTCAGGAAGGATGACTCCAGGGTAAACTGTTTTATGCAGTAGCCAAATCGCTTGCTCATAACTTTAATGTGAGTTGCTCACAAAGAAGGATTTTTGCTCACGAGACTCCACAGCTTAGAGGGAGCCTTGGCAGGCATCCCTTCTTAGTGGAAGCGGCAAAATAACCGCACAGCATCTGTCGGTTTTGGTGAGCTGGCAAACGAAAGGGAAGGCATGGGGGCAGACAAGCTTCATAGTGGGCTAGGCCTCATTTGGAATACTGTGTGCAATTCTGGTCACCACACCTTAAAAAGGATATTATAGCTTTGGAAAAAGTGCAGAAAAGGGCAACTCGAATGATAAAGGGGTTGGAACACTTTCCCTATGAGGAAATGTTAAGGCGCTTAGGGCTCTTTAGCTTGGAGAAACGACGACTGAGGGGTGACATGATCGAGGTTTATAAGATTATGCATGGGAAAGAGCAGGTAGAGAAAGAGGTACTTTTCTCCCTTTCTCACAATACAAGAACTCGTGGGCACTCCATGAAATTGCTGAGCGGTCGAGTTAGAACGGATAAGAGGAAGTACTTCTTCACCCAAAGAGTGATTAACACTTGGAATTCACTGCCACAGGAAGTGGTGGCGGCTACAAGCATGGACGCCTTCAAAAGGGAATTAGATAAGCATATGGAGCAGAGGTCCATCGGTGGCTATTAGCCACAAGGTATAGATAGGGACTCTGGAGCAAGTGATGCTCTGTCATCTTGGTGCTTGGGGGGGGGTCAACAGTGGGAGGGCTTCTAATGTCCTGGCCCCACTGGTGGACCTCCTGATGGCACTGGTATTTCTGGCCACTGTGTGATACAGAGTGCTGGACTGGATGGGCCTTTGGCCTGATCCAACATTGGCGTCCCTTATGTTCTTATGAGCCTCGCTGGTGCTTTCATCTCCCCTGGGGCCAGCCTCGGTCCCTTGGGTGGAGAACCCATCTGGTGTGTGCCAAGCAAAGCAGTCTGACAAAGTGCTTAGTTGTTTATTAATTCATTTCTCCCTTGCCTTTCTCCCCGGTGGGGACCCAAAGCAACTTACATTGTTCTCTTCTCCATGTTATCCTCACGGCAACCCTGTTAGGTTGGCCCAAGGTTACCAAGCAAATTCCCTTGGCATGAGTGGGCATTTGAACTCGGGTTTCCCAGAGCTTAGGGGCTGCGGTGGCTCAAGTGGTTAAGATGTTGAACTGCAGGCTGTGGAAGGTCAGTAGTTCAGCAGTTCGAGACCCGAGTGTGCCACATGACGGAGTGAGCTCCTGTCTCTGGCCCCAGCTCCTGCCAACCTAGCAGTTTAAAATCAAGACACTGCAAGTAGATAAATAGGTACCGCTTTGGTGGGAAGGTGACAGCGTTCTATGTGCCTCGGCATCTAGTCATGCCGGCCACATGACCACGGAAACATCTTCGGACAGCGCAGGCTCTTCGGCTTGGAAACGGAGATGAGCTCCGCATCCCTAGAGTCGGATTTGACTGGCTTTTGAGCAAGGGAAACCTTGACTTTGACCTTTCCAGAGCTTAGTCCAACACCATTACACCATTCGCATGGTGGGGCTGCGTGCCCCCTTCGTAAACAAACAGGGTGCCCTCCTACCATGTGACCATACCCGCCCCCGGTTTCACGCGACTGGCTTTTCTTTGTGGGCTCCCTGTCGTGAAAATGTAAAGCCGTGTAGAAGGAAGCTGCCTTAGAGCCAGTCAAGCTGGAGGTCCATCTCACTCGGCTTTTGCCATCTCTTCGTGGCAGCGTGGTCTCATGCTGTGGAGGGCTTTTCCCCAACTTCTGTTACTTCCCTTCCTGGAGAAGGGCTGTGGCCCAGTGGTAGAGCACCCGGAATGTAGAAGATCCCAGGTTTAATTAAAAGATCAGGTAGTAGGAGCCCTGACCTGGATAGCCCCTGCGAGCCCAATCTCGTCAGATCTCGGAAGCTGAGCAGGGGCTGACCCTGGCAAGTATTTGGACGGGAGACCTCCAAAGAATACCAGGGTTGGGAGGCAGAGGCTGGCTATCGAGCCACTTCTCTGAAGAAAACCTGTCCCGCCTCTAGAAATACGATGTGTCAGGAGAAGGCAAATTGCGTCTAGTTTTCTATACGCAGGTTGTTGTTGTTTTTTACAAAAATAGAGAGGCATTCAGTTCTTTGAGCCCCAGAAGCAGGTTTAACAGCCACATGAGAAGGGGTCCGGGCAATCAGGGATCACATAGGGTTGGATCCAACCAGTTTTTCTGCTGTTGAAAGAAGAAGGCGAGCCCCCCCTTTCAATAACAAAAGAAGAGGGACCATGGAACCAGCACAGACAAAAGACAGGTGGGGCAGAGGCCATGGTCAGGAAGGGGGGTTAGGTGGGAACAATATTGGGTGACGGGACTGGCTGGATCCAACCCGTAGCCCGTTTCCTACCAGTCAGTTACAGGTTTTCCCACCTCCAGTCCTGCCTCTGTTTTCTGGATGAATGCCTTTACTGTAGGAGAGCAATCTGGGGGCAGAATTGAATTGAAGGGAGGGGAGCTGACAGTCACCCAGCATTGCTCGCTAAAATGTCCATGACTAAATGACCCATCTGGGTCTGGTGAATGTAGCGTTGCGGGATACGTATATTTGCTCACCGAACCCGTTCTGAATGCAATGCAGAGGATGGTCACGTCTTTGTCTGGGGCTACGGAATCCTCGGGAAAGGCCCCAAACTGATGGAGGCGGCAATCCCCGAAATGATCCCGCCCGCCCTCTTCGGCCTCTCAGACCTCACCCCGGACATCCGTGTGGCTCGGATCCGTTGCGGACTCAACCAGTTTGCTGCTATCACCAGTAAGTTTCTTAAATGTCCTTGTAGCTTGGGCAGTCTTGGGGGAAAGGGGGTGTTGCCTTCCTTGGGCAAAGCTGCCTCGATGGCACGGAATGTTCAGCAATATCTTACCTGCTGAAGGCGTCAGCAGTGGGGAATGTTTGAGAAATATCATGTCTCCCGTGCAGGAAGGGGAAAAGCCAGACCAAGAAAAACCCCTGCACATGGGGTCTAATAATAATAAGAAGAGTGTGTGGTCTGAGGAAAGGAGTGGTGGGCTGGTAGAAGCCAGAATGCTCTGGGCTGGGGTCGTTTCGTAGAAAAAGAGCTAGGGGAACTCATTAGCATAACTCATTAGCATATGCTACACCCCCTGACATCACCGGAAGTGTGTCATAAGGCCACACGGTCCCGGTCGCCACCGCCGGCCTTGCAGCTCCACTGCCGAGCCCCATGAGGGGCCCGGCGGTGGACCTGCAAAGCCGGCGGGAGTGCAAGGAAGCCCCGCGAAGGCCCTCCCTGGCCCCAGGCAGGCAGGGGTGGGGAGAGGCAGGGAGGAAGCAACTTACCCTCCCTCTTCTCCTGCCTCCTCCTGGCTGAATGAGGGCCGGAAGCGGGGCGGCCGGAAGCAGGGGGCGGGGCTTCCTCATGTGCCCCGCCCCCGTACCTCACCCGGGGGAACTGCGATCCCCCACGAAATGACCTCTGGCTCTGGGCCTGGTTGGAGACTGAAGGCTCAGAAAAAGACAGCGGTCTGCAGCCTACGACTTTAGAGCCCAATAGTATGGAACCAAGTATGGGTCTTAAAAAAAAATCTTTAAGGGAAAGTACACTGTAGGTGTAGGTGGGATGCTAAATTAACTAGCACATGAAGGGAACAGCAGGCAAAGCATTTTAGGAGACTTCTTCGAGAGACTTCCCAGGAAGAGAAAGGAGAGAGGCGAACGTCTGACAGCAGTCCACGTGCAAATCGGGCACAGATTCATGCCTATGCTCTAAGACAATAGTGCAGGGTGCTCCTATGAAGTTATTGTGAGATCCCGTGTGTGCCCACTTCTTAATGAATGACTCGCGATAACCAGTATTTCAGCTGCAGAAACTGTATGGATGTCTAATCAACGTGTCAGTTATTGGTAACGATACGTTGTGTATCTTTTTAGTCATGCAAATAAACTTCCTTACGCCGGTCCCAGGGCAGCGAGAGGGTTAGGCTAGAATATTCTGAATATTGAGAAGTCTAAGGGGAGCCTCCAGTTAACTGATCTCTGGTACCAGGTTTTGGAGAAGGCCCTTCTTGGGCTGAGAGTGCAGAGAGACGTTGCACATCACAGTAGACAATTCTCAGCTAGATGGACTGTAGGGTTGCCAAGTCGACACCCCCTGTATACCGGGGGAGTCCAGTGCTGGTCAGGGAGTGCACGCGCGCCGCAACCACATTACCCGGAAGTGATGCAGCCACGTCGGGCACGCCGGGGGCGGGGCCACAATCTTCCGAGGGAAAACCATAGAGTTTTCCCTCGGATGACCGCGGCCCCGTGCCCGACACGACTGCATCACTTCCGGGTGATGTGGTTGCGGTGCGCGCACACTCCTGGACCAGCGCTGGACTTTCCCTCAGATGACCGCGGTCCCGCCCCCAACGCGCCTGACGCGACTGCGTCACTTCCGGGTGACGTGCTGACGCTGGGCACGTGGCGTGCTTTCGGGGTGGGGTTCCCCCCTGGGCGTGATCCGTCGTCGTCGGGTAACGGGCCTCTCGGGAGGGGGTTTCCCTGCCCCCCGGGGGGACTTGGCAAGCCTAATGGACTGAATGACTTCGTTTGAATCTCTTGTGCTTCTTCTAGCCTGGAAACGGAGGGGCACATGCATGATAACCGAGATCACTTGCAGCCCCACTGATTCAAGGCACAGGTTAAATCTAAAATAGAGGTCCGGGTTTCCTCATGGATTAGTGTCCGTTGTCGCAGCGGATTGGTGGTCTTGGAATTGTGTCATGGCAAGTGCACCCTCTAGGGGGCAGCATAATCAAAACCTGTGGAAACCGGTTCCCTTTTCTCTCCTTGTACAGGCTTCCAGACTTAAGTGTGTGCTCGAACCACACACACACACATGCACACACACAAGTGCGTGCATGCATAAGAATATGTTTTTGTAAAGGAGAAAGCAGAGAAGAAATTGCACCTCCTTTGCTTTTTTAAAATAGCTGTAGAGGGAGTGGGCGCGAGGGAACTGGTTCTCTTGCCCTGCAGTACACAGGAGAGGGTTGCCAACTCCAAGATGGGAAATTCCTGGAGGTTTTGGGGTGTAGACTGGGGAGGGCAGGGTTTGGGGAGGGATCTCATTGGGGTATAATGCCAGAGTCCACCTCCCAAAGCAGCCGTTTTCTCCAAGGGAACCACTCTTGGTAGTCTGGAGGTCAGTTATAAATGATCCCAGGAATTGATCTCTGGAGATTGGCAGCCCTGTCCCCCCCCAATTTCTGTCTGCCATGTTCTTTTGGTTTGCAGATCGAGGAGAGCTCTTTGTCTGGGGGAAAAACACCCGCGGCTGCTTGGGGATTGGCAGGATGGAAGACCAGTACTTCCCATGGAGGGTAAGCAACGCTCTGCAGCAGCACTTAAGGAAACCGAAAGTATGTGTTTGTGTGTGTCGCTGAAAGGCAACGCCAAACTACTCCTGGGTCCCATCCGTGATCTCAGAATGTTGCGGGCCGGGATCAACAGGGCATTCCTAGATAGACCGGGCACTGAAAGTCCTGTGGAACTCATTGCCTCTGGATGCAGAAGAGAGTGACGGAGAAGATCAGGAGCCCGGAGACCCAGCCCTATGAAGAAAGGCTGAGGGACTTGGGAGAAAAGGAGGGGGCAGGATGGCTCTTGCTTTAAGTATTTGAAAGGTTGTCACTTAGAGGATGGCAGGGAGCCGGTCCCATTTGCAGCAGAGGATAGCATTCACAATCAATGTTCCCTCTAATCCCCCCCCCCCCACTGACCGGCGCAGTTCACACTGTGAGTGGAACAGAACCGCTGTAATCTAAAAATGGGTGTGGCTCCAGATTGCTGCTGAGTGGGGCTTCCTGGGTTAATGAGCGGGCGCTCACATGCCCAGCTTAGAGGGAACACTGCCTGCAATAATGGGTTTAAATTATGGGCAGAAAAATACCAGCTGGATATTGGGGAAAATTTGTTTCCAGTAAGAATAATTCAGCAGTGGAATCGGCTGCCTAGGGATGTGGTGAGCGTCCGTTCACTGGCAGTCATCAAGCAACGGCCGGACACACACTTGTGAGGGATGCTCTAGGCTGATCCTGCACTTAGCAGGGGTTGCCCTAGGTGGCCTGTATAGCCCTTTCCAACTCTATGATTCTATGACAACTAGCAAAAATGGCTTTAAAAAACCATGGTGGGCAACTGCTGGGAGGGCAGGAGTGGGGACACGGGGAAGGGATGACATTGGTTGCCTTTCTGTGTCACTTCATAGAGTTTCCAGTGATTCCTAAAACTACCCTCCGTCACTTTTGCAGTGACACATCTGACGTCACCAGTTCAATTTTTTCTGCTGCCACCCGTGGTGGCCCCCCCCCCCCCGAAGCCTAGTAGAACTCTGGGAGGGGTGGTTTTAGTTTCTGGTTGGTCCAGTGTTGGCTTCTGGGCATGATAACAGAAAGCACAACTTCAGTTTTCAGTCGATACCTCCTGATGCTTGGACGTAACCACGGGGTAGCTCTGTCATGCCTTGGCTGTTGAACTTGGAGAAACGACGATTGAGGGGTGATATGATTGAGGTTTATAAGGTTATGCATGGGATAGAGCAGGTTGAGAAAGAAGTACTTTTCTCCTTTTTCTCACAATACAAGAACTCGTGGGCACTCAATGAAATTAATGAACAGCAAGCTTAGAACAGATAAAAGCTCTGTCATGCCTTGGCTGTTGAACTTGGAGAAACGACGATTGAGGGGTGATATGATTGAGGTTTATAAGGTTATGCATGGGATAGAGCAGGTTGAGAAAGAAGTACTTTTCTCCTTTTTCTCACAATACAAGAACTCGTGGGCACTCAATGAAATTAATGAACAGCAAGCTTAGAACAGATAAAAGAAAGGACTTCTTTACCCGAAGGGTAATTACCATGTGGAATTCGCTGCTGCAAGAGGTGGTGGCAGCTACGGGCATAGACAAGCTTCAAGAGGGGACTGGAGAAACATACGGAGCGGAGGTCCGTCAGTGGCTCTTAGCCACAAAGTATAGATGGAACACTCTGTCTGGGGCAGTGATGCTCTGTATTCTCGTTGCTTTTGGGGGGCAACAGTGGGAGGGCTTCTGGAGTTCTGCCCCCCAGTAGACTTACTGATGGCACCTGGTATTTTTGGCTACTGTGTGATGGAGTGTTGAACTGGATGGGCCATTGGCCTGATCCGACATTGGCTGTTACTTTCTTAACTTCTGGCCGGCCGCTGCCACTGAAGGGGGGGGGGGATCAACAAGACCCAGCAATACGATATGAGCCAATACTATTCTTGCGGGACATGTTCTAATGTTATGGAAGCAGTAGACGGAAAGGCAAGAGTTAGGCCTTATTTATTATTTAGTGGTGGCCGAGTCGCAGCTGATTTAAGGCTTTTTCAAGATGAGAGACGGAGGTGGTTTCGCCATTGCCTGCCTCTGCCTAGTGACCCTGGGCTTCCTGGGTGGTCTCCCATCCAAGCACGAACCAGGAACGACCCTGCTTAGCTTCCGAGATCTGCTGAAATTGGTCTCGCCTGGGCCATCCAGGTCAGGGCAGGCGTTACTTAACCTCCTTGTAAAAAAGCGGAAGGTGGGGAGATGGGAGCTATGCCATCCCTGTATCTGGCTGCAACCCTGCCGAGACTCCCCTTCCCGAGAGCCGTTTTGCATCACCCTTGAGATTTATAAGGTTTTAATCTTTGTTGGCTGCTTTGGGAACCAGGTTTTTGTCTGGGTTTGAATTAATGCGTGCAGCAGATTGCTCTCCTCCCAACTATCCAGAAAGAAAACGGGTTAGAAATTCTTCTCCGTTTGCTTGTTTCTCTTGTCTAGGTGACGGTGCCGGGTGAGGTGGTCGATGTGGCTTGCGGGGTAGACCACATGGTTACTCTGGCCAAATCCTTCGTCTAGCAGTACCTGGACGCCGCCACGAATTACCCAGCCCAACGGACCTAGTGGGCCAAGTTCGACATGGGAACGCACCATCCCTTTTGTGCCGGCGTTAGCTTCTTCCCGAAGTCCTGGAACTTAGGTCCCTGAAAGGCTTACCGCATCAGCGGCTCCCAGAGGATCTGTGAGCCTATGTTCGGGGGGCGGGGGGTCTCATGTGAACATTCGCTGGAGATGAAGAAATTCTAGCTGGCAAGCCGTTTCAGAGACACCGCCAGTTACCTTTTAAAAACGAACGCTCTCATTGCGGGAGGAGCTGTGGTTCTGTTCTTCTTTGCGAAAGGTCACGGGAGGCTCTGGAACAATCCACTGTCCACGAGGCAAGTCAGTGCCCGCTTGTTCCGCAAAGGGGTGTGCTTGAATCGCGAAACGGGAACAGGTCGTACTGTTCTGAAGATGCCGGCGGGAGATGATTGAATGTTGTGCTGTCTCTTTAAAAAAAGAACCCCGGCCATAGGTCATTGTTTGGGGGTCGCTCTGCCTTGGTGTTTCGTAAAAGCACTGGACTTGAAACGAATGTTGTTGTGTTTGTACCTGCGTCATCACCTCCCGCTAGAGCCTGTACGGATCGCTGTACGCCTAGGCCCGAAGTACAAGTAACAGCTTTCGACGAAGAGGAAAGGGGGTGGGGGGTGGGGAATGCAAAATTGATCCCACCAGCCTAGGTGGAAGACACCAATTTTCCTCACTGGTTAAACTTTCCAGGTCCCCCTAGCAGCGTTTTCTCCCCTCCCCCCCCCCCCCGCCCTGGATGGCCCAGGCTAGCCCAATCTCGTCTGATTCCGGAAGCGATGGAGGGCCGGCCACAGTCAGTACTTGAATAGGAGACCACCGGGTCACTCCACAGAGGCAGGCGGTGGTCAGCCACCTCTGTTCGTCTTTCGCCTTGAAAAAATTACGGGGTTGGCAGACTGTGACTTGATGGCACTATAGACATGCGCAGGGCTTTTTTTATAGGAAAAGCCCAGCAGGGACTCATTAGCATAATAGGCCACACCCAACAGCTGAAATTGGTCTCGCCTATTAGGCCACACACCCTATTGGTCTCGCCTATTAGGCCACACACCCATGTTACCAGAAGTGTTGTCGTCCAGCCACGCCCACCTTTTGCTTCTTATTCTGTTTACTTTGTTGTCAACACCCTGGGCTTTTTTTTGTAGCATGTTAGGCCACACATACCCTAATGAAGCCAATCCTAATGAGTTTCTGCAGTTAGGTGTGGCCTATTATGCTAATGAGTTCCTGCTGGGCGTGGCCAACTCAGGAGCCAGCCGGAACTCCGTTCCTGCCCAAAAATAGCCCTGGACATACACATCACCTCCAGTGTTCCCTCTAAGCTGAGTTAGTGTGAGCTAGCTCACAGTTTTTTAGCCTCCAGCTCACACATTTTTGTCTTCGCTCAGGAAAGACGGCTCCAGAGCAAACTGATTTATGCAGTAGCCAAATCGCTTGCTCACACCTTTAATGCCAGCAGCTCACAAAGTAGATTTTTTGCTCACAAGACTGCGCGGCTTAGAGGGATTCACCTCCCTACCAGCTGGGTTTAAGTTGTGTTAGATGACTGAGCACACACACTTCTTTCCTAAGGGTGGCTCCTAACTGGCTATAGCTTCTCATGGGATTGGGGGGGGGGGGTTGGTTGGTTGGGTTCTGATGACATGTTGTGCTCACGCAGAGTGCTTCCCCCAGCGGGAAAGAATTTTCCTGCCTGGACTGCTCCCACTGTAGCCTGCTGATCCCCCCCAAAATGCTGCTTCCGGGGATGGGAGTAGCACAAAAGGCAGAATGGGGGGGGTCTGCAGCCAGAGAAGAGAGAGAGGAGAAGAGATGGGGTTTATACCCCGCCCTTCACTGCCCGAAGGCGTCTCAGAGGGGCTTACAATCTCCTCTCCCTTCCCCTCCCCACAACAGACACCCTGTGAGGTAGGTGGGGCAGAGAGAGCTCTTTCCAGAACCGTCCTTGAGAGAACAGCTGTGAGAGAACTTCGCAACTGACCCAAGGTCATCTAGCCAGGGGCAAGTGGAGGAGTGGGAAATCAAACCCAGTTCTCCCAGATTAGCGTCAGCGCTCTTATCCACTATACCCCACCATTTCCATTAGAGGGAAATTTAGTCTGGCGCCAGTCTGTTCAGTCCATTGAAAAGCTACAGCAACCCCTTGTCAGGCCAACTCCACCGTCTACCCAATGCACATCCATGCTGGGAAAACTTCAGTGCTTCACTGTTCTGGGTGTGGGTGTGACAAGATAAAAGGAAACATTCTCGTCTTCACTATTTCCTCGGGCACTTGCTCTGTGTTGGTGCACGCAGAAAACGTTTCCCCTGTCCTCCTCCATCTTCCCTCCTTCCAGAATTTGGTGGTGGTGGTGGTGGTCAGGGTTCCCTCTAAGCTGAGCTAGTGTGAGCTAGCTCACAGTTTTTTAGCCTCCGGCTCACACATTTTTGTCTTAGCTCAGGACGGATGGCTCCGGAGCAAACTAATTGATGCAGTAGCCAAATCGCTCGCTCACAACTTTAATGCCAGTTGCTCACAAAGTAGAATTTTTGCTCACAAGACTCCACAGCTTAGAGGAAGCATTGGTAGTGGTAAGTGTTCTGCAGGGGATCAGGCAAGGCCTTGCCCTGGCGTAGTCATTGCTTACATGCAAGAAACTTTTAAAAATGTCCTTCGTTTTCAGACAGTCAGTCGTCCCCATCCAGTTAAAGTAATCGGAAAAACAAAATTGTACACCGCGGAATCAGTGTACATGATTCATCATTACAAGATTGCGGTATCCCTGCTTCGCATTCTTCAAAAAAAGGGCCAACTTGGCCACAGGGTAGTGCCGCCAACTTTCAGGTGGTGGCTGGAGATCCCCTGCTATTACAACTGATGAGAGAGGCCAGTTCCCCTGGAGAAAATGGCTACTTCAGGAGGTGGACTCTAGGGCATCATTCCCCACTGAAGTCCCTCCCCTCCCCAAACCCCGCCTTCCTCAGACTCCACCCCCAAAGCCTCCAGGGATTTCTCACGGCAGAGCTGGCAACCCTAACCAAAGGGCTTTTCTATGTTATGCTGCTGCGGACAGCTTTAAGATTGAAATGGGAGGAGAAAGAGAACAGCGGGTGCTCAGAACCACCCTCCCCCAGTTGTTCTATCTTCTAGGGAAATGCACCTGCAGTATGGAACTTACCGGAAAGTTAAAAGAGGACCAGTTCTCAGCAAGCTCTGTTCTGCGCCCACCGCTTCCCTAGACGCAAAGCCCTGAGCATGTGCCATATTTTCACAGCGTCATAATGCCCTGGAGGAATTACCCACTACTAGGAACGTGTCATTGTCATCTTATTCCGGCAGATAATTCACTTTATCCTTTGAGAGACGGGGGGTTTACAATCGGCAGTGTTTTTTTAATTGCAAACAGTTTCAAAGTATAACACCTTGTCTTGCTTCGGGCTGTGCGGAAGTGTCTAAACAGACAGAGGAAACTGAGGCAGCAGAACAGAGAGAAAGAAAAAATTCGGAGGCAAACTGGCTTAGGCTGGAAAAACGTTGCCGCGAAGATGTATTGGGCGACTGTAGCGGGGCTCTCGTAGAGGCAGAAGATCGCAGAAACAGAGAAAGAACAAGGGTGCAATGGTTCAGAAGTAAAAATCGCCACCTTCGGTTCCAAAATGCCCTTGTGACCACCCTACTCTCTGGTTCCCTCACAATCTTGGAACGGACTGTAAGAGGGATGATATGTCACAGTAGTACAACCTGGCCGTGAGAGAGCCAGACACAGGGCAAGTTATATACTGGCGTACAACCTGTCATGGAAGTTCTCCCGTATACACTCCAGAGGCACAGACAGGAAGAAGAAGAAGAGATTGGATTTATACCTCGCCCATCACTAACCAAAGGAGTTTCAGAACAGCTTACAATCTTCTTTCCCCTCCCCACAACAGACACCCTGTGATGTAGGTGGGGCTGAGAGAGCTCTCTCGAGAACTGCTCATGAGAAAACAGCTCTGAGAGAGCTTGTGACTTACCCAAGGTCACGCCAGCAGCTGCACGTGGAGAAGTAGGGAATCAAACCCGGTTCTCCCAGATTAGAGTCTGCGCTCCTAACCACTACACCAAACTGGAGCTGTGCAAGAGCTTTGCCACTCCACCATTTCCAGTCTGTTCCACAGAAGTGTGTGCAAGAGATTTCCCTCATGGGCAAACTGGGTTTTCACAGGGAATATGTCACCGGTAGGTACCATTTTTGTCATCAAGGCTGTGCCGTGCCCCCCTCCCCCAAGAAACTAAGGTACGATAGAGGAGTTTACTGTTAAGTTCTGAACAGGCACATTTCCCTTAGTTATGTCATAATTTCATCAGTCGGGATAATGTTGCCTCGGCAGTGACATTGCCTTGTTAAAAACAGATCGCTCGGCCTTGCTCTTCCATTGACATTCTACAGAGGTCAGTTCTGGTAAGGAAAGCAATATGGCACGGACCCCCTTGAGGAATTCAACCGAGCGTAACACTTGATGGTGAACACCCTTTGAACGATCGAGTCAGTTGGCAAAGGCAGTGACCTAGGCCCCACCTCTGTCAGGTTCTAGACTCTTCTGTTGACGCAATCCACGCTCCCCCAAAATGGAAATGGCTCTTTTCCTTCACAGATTTATTTTCTCTCGCCATTGCATTCTACTGTGGTTGATATAGTTTCGAACCTCAGCATGTATTTCTGTCACACACACGCTCTCACACACACACACGCACACGGAAAGCACAGTTTTTGCTTTGGAGTTGAAGTTCCAAAAACCTTCACAGTTCCTTTATCCCAACAATTCTCCCCCCCACTTCCCTCCCACCCGAAGAATTATTTTATTAAAAATTATTTCTTTTAAAAAGCTATTGGTGAGGAATTCTTTGCAGTCTTCTCGGTGGTGGTTTTCTGTGTGGCACCGCATCCCGTCTCCCACACGCTTTTGGAGTTTAAAAAACAAAAACGAACCTATCTCCCCCCCCTCCCCGAAAATACTGAGAAGAATTATTATTATTATTGATGTAAAATGCACCTGGGTCCCATTTGGAAGGGGCCCTAATGTTTTTCAGCTTGACTAACTTGGAGTGCGTTGATAACACCATTTATATTTTCTTCTGGTACCTGTGAAAACAAAAATGAAAAATTAGGTTGCTAAACGCTGATAAAAATTAAAACTTCCACAGACAGAGTGTTCATAGGGTGACTAAGTGCAATATACACCCCATTAGAGATCACGCAAGTATTGAGCAACTGGAAAAAATGTATGTGTGAGACTGCTAACCCGATTTCTCACTGAGCTATCACCCAGTTAAAGAAAATTTAGCTCCTTAACTGTATTAATTTTAATCCATTAACCTTTCATATGAATAATAAAAAACACATTTCTACTTGAAAAAGTTTCTGAAAAAGGTTTTACAGCTGGTTATTTTATAGAAGAGACATTCTCTTCTATGTGCGACAGAAGGTGTAATGCCTCTTCTAAGATGGTGCCTACCGTGCATGGTTTTTGTGCTTGTATGAGATTTTTTTTTTTTAAATCTGCACAATTAATTAGGTTGTGGCTCAGTGGTAGAGCATCTGCTTGGCATGCAGAAATCCCAGGTTCAGTTCCTGGCATCTCCAGTTGAAAGGACCAGGCAAGAGGTGATGGGAGAGATCGCCACCTGAGCCCCTGGAGAGCTGCTGCTAGTCTGAGTAGACAATACTGACCCTGATGGACCAAGGGTCTGATTCAGCATAAGGCAGCTTTGTCTGTTCATGTATGTTCAGTTAGGGATATCTTTTAAATCAGAAACAATCCTTTTAATGATCTCAGTTAATAGACTAAATGCTGCTGCCTTAATTTTCCACCGGGTACTTTGTGGGAGAAAAGCACAGATCTCCCGAGGCACCAAAGACCACGTTGGATAACCTTTCCCAAGTCAACCAAGTTATCCTCTAACAATGTCAACTTTAGTAGACTCCTACTAAAGTTATCCTCTAACAACATCAACTTTATTATACTTCTATTAGGAGTCAAATCACCAAAAGGACTTTTGGTTGACACTAACAGAGGAAGATCGAGATGGGTAGCCATGCCAATCTGTCTGTAGCAGTAGAAAACAGCAAGAGTCCAGTAGCACCTGAAAGACTAACAAAATTTGTGGCGGAGTTAGAATGAGGTTTGGGAATCACCTTGGGCCTCCTTCCAGTGAGGCACGCGGCTAGGATTGTGTGTGTGTGTGTGGGCCTCGGAAGATCCAATAGGGGGCTCAGCCCCTAAAGCCCCACCACTGGCTATGGCCCTGCTGTACGTAAAGAAGTAGTACGTATGGAAGACGGGTTCTATACTAGCCACGCTCTTTGTCATACGTGTCAGGCTTTGCATACAGAGATGCATTTGGTCACGTAGGCTGCCTCCTGCAGTCTGAAACGGTAATGTTTACAATCTTTGCAAGAATTAGACCAGTGTGTTAGTTTATAAAATAGGGGTGTTTTTTTACAAGTTTATCTTATCGGTGTGGTTAATGTTCAAGAAAGTAAACCCAATGGATATAACCGTTTGACCTTTGCTATCTGAGATAATGTTGACTTTTTGCTGTGTACACAGACACAGACACGCTGGGAAGAGGGTGGGCGCGAGGAATGGGAATGGAAAAAGGGGGGAGAACAGGTTTGTTGCCTGAGTGTTTTATAAGTTAAAAGGTTGAAAGAGGGGTGATGCATTCGGATAGGTAATGGACCCCATCTTGGGTGATGCGTGCAGGGGGGCAAAGCACACAGCACGTGACCCTGTAAAGTGGTACCCTGTACTAGCTTAGCTGGTGATGTTGACGGGATGAGACAAGCATTGAAAATTACCACCCCTGGTCTTTCCCATTACCTACTGCTTGGTCCTTTTAACTGGAGGTGCTGGGAATTGAACCTGGGACCTTCTGCGCGCAAGGCAGATGTTCTGCCAATGAATCACAGCCCCTGTCAGTCTGGATTTTCTTCCTGCACAGCAGAATATTCTCACTAAAACCCCGTGCATGGAACAGCAAGGAAAGGATCACAGAAGCCCGAGAGCTTTGCATCACTTGCAAGACATGCATCAAAGAATCTTAGAATCATAGAGTTGGAAGGGACCTCCAGGGTCATCTAGTCCAACCCCCTGCACAAGGCAGGAAATTCAGGCGTAATCTTCGTGGGGGCGCTGGGGCTTCAGCCCCCGCCGAAATTTTCAGGAAAGTGCTCAGCCTCCCCCGGGAGCCACCCTTGCTCCTAGCACAGCAATGCCTCTGGCCCAGCCCCAGCACACACACACCCCCCCCCCGGGAAATTGGAAAGTCTACACCCTATAATGATAAAAAAAACTCCAGGATTCCTGGCCAAACAGGCCGGGAGAAAAATTGCTTCCTGACCCCAAAATGGCGATCAGCATTTCCCTGGGCGTGTAAGAAAGGACCACAAGAACTAAGCACTGAGGCCAACCCTTCCTGCCCTCCCTTCTCACGATCTGCCTAAGTTCACAGAATCAGCAATGCTGTCAGATGGCCATCTAACCTCCAAAGAAGGAGAGCCCACCACCTCCCAAGGAAGCCTGTTCCACGGAGGGACCGCTCTAACGGTCAGGAAGTTCTTCCCAACGTTTAGCCGGAAACGCTTTTGATTTAATTTCAACCCGTTGGTTTTGGTCCGACCTTCTGGGGCAACAGAAAACTACTCCGCACCATCCTCTATATGATAGCCCTTCAAGTACTCAAAGAAGGCCCGTGTGTACCTCCTGGGGATGTCATTCCACACTGTGGACTGTGGGAATGGGCTAAGGGTGTTTGAAAAGGTTGGTGTAACCATGCAACCCCTCCAGGCCGAGTGCTCCCTTCAAAGTGGAAGAGATGGCCGGCAGCTTGAAATGGCTTTAAGAGAAAAAAGCTTAAATCCATGGGGGACACATCCATCAAAGCGAACCCCCACGTACAGAGGCAGTGTACCTCTGAAGATCAGTGGCTGGGCAGGGCGACAACAGGGGCAGATATTGGCCTCCGTGCCCTGCTTGCGGGATGTTTCGCTTGATGGACCTTCCTTCGAAGACAGTGTTATGCCCTTATGTCATTTCATGGACTTACCAGTGCATGATCAAACTTGAAAGTACTGATGTAGTAGGCAGGGATGTCGGCAGCAGCCAGGGGCTCAGAAATCTGAGCAACGATTCCACATTCATCTAGGAGGAGGAGGAAGAAATACAGCTCAGCAGAAAACCCGCATTAGCAAAACAACATCTATCTGACCTGAACCGAGTTGACATGATGCACATTCCACACATCTCACTGAGGGTATCTTTCGATCCAGCTTCCTGAGCGTATGCAGGGGTCATTTCCTGCAGGAGCGCACAGGAGCGGAGCTCCGGCAGTATAGAGCCCAGGGGGCAGTCACATGAACAAGCCCCACCCCCTGCTCCCAGCAGCCCTCAGTTGGGCTCAGTTAGAGCAAGAAGCAGCCAGGTAAGTTGCAGAGCCCCCGTCCCCCATCCCCTGGTCCAAAAGAACGCTGTTACCTTCCCACCAAAGTAATACCTATTTAAAGGTAAAGGTAAAGGTTCCCCTGCTCAAAAGCCAGTCGAATCCGACTCTAGGGTTGCGGTGCTCATCTCCGTTTCAAAGCCGAAGAGCCAGCGCTGTCCGAAGACGTTTCCGTGGTCATGTGGCCGGCATGACTAAACACCAAGGCGCACGGAACGCTGTTACCGTCCCACCGAAGTGGTACCTGTTTATCTACTTGCAATTTCTTGCTTTCGAACTGCTAGGTTGGCAGGAGCTGGAACTAGAGATGGGAGCTCACTCCATCATGCGGCACCCGGGTCTCGAACTGCTGAACTACTGACCTTCCACAGCCTGCAGTTCAGCATCTTAACCACTTGAGCCACCGCAGCTCCGTTAGCTAGCTTTAAAAGGGGGTTAAGACAAATTCATGGAGGAGCAGTCTGATAATGGCTATTTGCCTTGATGACTTCATGGAACCTCCATGTTCAGAGGCACTGTACGTCCAAGCTGGTGGCCTGTGACGTCGGGGAGGCTTTGACCTGAAGTTAGCTGCAATGTTACGACAACGATGGGTAGCAAAATGGGAGAGGAGCTCCAGTTTTGGTTGGCAAGCCACCTGGGGAGAACTCTGAGGGCGAGGTCTGAGCTGGAGGATGCCAGTGACCCACCCAAGGATACAACCTACCGAAGCCGAGGGGCTGCCCTCCGATCCGAACCATCTTCCAGAGTTCTCCTGATGCGCTCGTAAACAGCAAGTTGTTGGGAAACCTGGGAAGGGGGGAAGAAATGGAACCGATACAGACGGTGTTCAAACATGGTGCAACAGGTCTCTGTGGTTGTTCCAGAAGTCTTTGTCGCCCGGAATCATTTATCATTTCCAGAGAGACCCAGAACAGCTTAGCTGGATCCTACCATTGAGGGTGACTCTCTGGTCAGCCAACCTTCCATGACACTGCCGATTCGATTGTTGCCCGTTTCTTGCTGTCAAGTCACAGCTGACGTATAGCGACCCCTGGTGGGGTCTTCAAGGCAAGAGACATTCAGAGGTGGTTTCACCATTGCCTGCCTCTGCATCACGACCAATGTTCCCTCTAAGCTATGGAGTCCTGTGAGCAAAAATTCTACTTTGTGAGCTACTGGCATTAAAGTTGTGAGCCAGCGATTTGGCTACTGCATCAATTTGCTTGCTCTGGAGCCATCCTTCCTGTGCGAAGACAAAAATGTGTGAGCCAGAGGCTAAAAAACTGTGAACTAGCTCACACTAACTCAGCTTAGAGGGAACACTGATCACGACTCTGGTCTTCCTTGGAGGCCTCCCATCCACACACTAGCCAGGGCCAACCGATGCGCTCTCTAAGCTGTGGAGTTCTGTGAGCAAAAATTCTACTTTGTGAGCAACGTGCATTACAGTTGTGAGCGAGTGATTGGGCTACTGCCTAAATTAGTTTGCTCTGGAGCCCTCTTTCCTGAGCTAAGGCAAAAATGTGTGAGCCGGAGGCTAAAAAACTGTGAGCTGGCTCACACTAACTCAGCTTAGAGGGAACGCTGGGGCCAACCCTACTTAGATTCCAAGATCTGACGAGATCGAGCTAGCCTGGGCTATCCAGGTTAGGGCTTACACGGCTGTATATTCTTTTCAAAAATGGATACCTTGCTTTTCTCCCCTGCAGTCTCTAAGCAGCTTGCAACATCATTTTTCTCTCCTCCATTTTATCCTCACAACAACCTTGTAAGGGAGGTTAGGCTAAGAGTGTGTGACTGGACCCAGGCCACCCATTGAACTTCCACGGCAGAGTGGGGATTTGGACTTGGGTCTCCCAGATCCTAGTCTCACTCTAACCTGTACATCACACCGGCTCTCATTCTCAAAGGCATCTCAGAGGACCCCATTCTGGGGATCTTAGCGTGACACTGTTCAGAGCCGAACTGGCTGTAAAAACAGCAGGGCTATTTTTGGGCAGGAACGCACAGGAACGGAGTTCCGGCTGACTCCCAAGTTGGCCACGCCCAGCAGGAACTCATTAGCATAATAGGCCACACCCAACAGCAGAAACTCATTAGGATTGGCTACATTAGGGGGTGTGTGGCCTAACATGCAAAGGAGTTCCTGCTACAAAAAAAGGCCCTGGGTTTTGACAACAAACAAGGTAAACAGAATAAGAAGCAAAAGGTGGGTGTGGCTGGATAACCACACTTCTGGTAACGTGGGTGCGGCCTAATGTGCTAATGAGCTGTGCTGTCAGGGGTGTGGCCCAATATGCTAATGAGTTCCTGCTGTTGGGTGTGGCCTATTATGCTAATAAGTTCCTGCTGGGCTTTTTCTACAAAAAGAGCCCTGAAAAACAGTATTAATAAAGTAAAGCTCCACCTCCGGGATACGGTAAATTCTGAATGGGGAATAATCTGTTGCCCTTAATCATTTATTGTTTCCCGGAAGGCCTTAGCCATATTTTACCCCTAATTATTCTGGGGCTCTTTTAGTTCCCACTCACCTCTGAATTACTTCTTTCAGCTCATGACATGGACACATGTACAAACTTGCAGCCCTGTAGCTAGGGAATTCTTTGGGAGGGGGCCACAGGGGGCCCACCAGCTAATTAAATTGAAGTACAGTGCAGGTGGTAGGTTAGAACACTTTGGGGGCAGCCCAGGAGAGAGGGGGCCCAGAAGAAACACTAGGGGACCGGGCCCCGTGGGCCCCATGTTAGCTACGGGCCAGGTGCAAAGTCTCCTGCCGGCTGGTAAAAGGCTCTGTAAAGAGGAGTATGAAGACAGCTCACCTTTTCTGCGTCTGTATATCCATCACCAGAGAAATGTAACCCTCGATAAGAGAAAACGAGAAAAAGCGAATGTGCCCAGAATCTTCATTGCCCGCCACAGAATCTTTTACTCTGGCGGAAAGACAGAGCAGTGGTTAGAATCTTTTTTTAAAAATAATGTTTATTGATAATTTTTTAAAACCAAAAGATAAAAGCTAACAAAAATATTGAAAAAGGAAAGGGACATACAAAGCTGAATTAAAAAAAGGGGAGGAAAGATACAAAGGAAAAAAAGGAAAAGACAAAGATATATAAAGAAGTGGCTTTCACTTTTCTCTACTACAAATACAAGTAAAATTGCCAACTTAACATTTACTCTATAGTTATAAAAAAGTTATTTTTTCTATTATCCGATCCCCCTCCCTCAGTCATCAAATAGCAGTGGTTAGAATCCAAACCAAGAGGAGTTTGAATATGTGTACATGATTTATTATCATGATATGGAGGGCTGTTACCAGTGTTCCCTCTAAGCTGAGTTAGTGTGTGCTAGCTCGCAGTTTTTAGCCTCCGGCTCACACATTTTTGTCTTAGCTCAGGAAGGATGGCTCCAGAGCAAACTAATTTATGCAGTAGCCAAATCGCTCGCTCACAACTTTAATGCTAGTAGCTCACAGAGTAGAATTTTTGCTCACAAGACTCCACAGCTTAGAGGGAGCACTGGCTGTTACACGGCCCTGTTGTAACTAATCAGGGGTGTGGATGGGTAATAGGTTTGATTATTGCACAGTAGTGGGACCAAAGTAATGGAAGGCAATCTGCTTTCTCCCATCTGAGCCCGTGTCTGCTAAGAGCAGTCGCTGAGGACCTGCTGTGTATGTCAGTCACCTGATGAAAATGTTTCCATTTGTCTGGGCATTTGGCTATTTCTGCCCTTCACAACCTTGTGACTCTGCTATCTCTCTCTCTCTGTTTCTCTTTGAACTGCTGCTTTGATCATCATTAATGCTCTTTCAGGTTTCGGTTTTTGGTACTCTGTTTCTAACATTAGCAGCCACCTGGAGCATTTTTAAGAGAGATGTGGCCGATCAAGCTCTTTTAAGGCAAATACACAAAGAGATGCCCAGGGTGGGTGAAAGAAGTTGGTGTGGTTGGGCACCTGCCAAGGCCCACAACCTGGCAGCAGGCCACCTTCCACTAGAGATGCTGAGTTGCTCTCCCCATTTATTAGATGGGGAAAATACCTGGAGGCAGCTCAGGAAGCAGAATGCCATAGAACAGGGGTGTCGAACTCATTTGATATGAGGGCCGGAACTGACATAAATGAGACCTTGTTGGGCCGGGCCATGAGTGTCATAAAATGGAATGCCAGGCAGTGGAGATATAAACTTTATAAAGGACTCAAACACAAAGGGTTTTTCTTAACTTAAAATAAAAACATGTTTAAACATTAGCACTCGCAATATTTCATTTATTTAACAATGTCTGATAATGGACACCCCTTGCTCTGAATTATTGCATCGAAATGTCTGTGCTGTTGCAATCTTGAGTGTGCTGTTCAGGCGTGTATCTGTAAGCTGCAAACCTACGATGACGTGGCAGCAGCAGAACTGGAAGAAGCAGAAGACTGCCAGTTCCACTGCGGGCCTGATAGAAGCCCTCCAAGGGCCTGATCTGGCCCCCGGGCCACATGTTTGACACCCCTGCCATAGAATCTTGCACTCTCTAGTCAGCCCAGAGGACCCTGCTACATCACAGGGATGCTGTCTTGATGCCTATATGCCCCTCAGAGAGCATTATGCTCAGCTTGTACCAACTTCCTGGTAGTCCTTGGTCCCCAAACAGTCTGGCTGTCCTCGACCACAGCCAGGGGCTTTTTGGCCCTGGCCTCAGCCTAGTGGAATTCTCTCCCCAGTAAGATCTGGTCTCTGCAGGACTTGGCTCACTTCCACAGGGCTTGTAAGACCAAGATGTTCTGCCGGGCATATGGCTGAGGACAGCAATGGTTAGAGAGATCAGTGGCCTTCTGGGGTCTCCCCTCCCCCTGTTTTTCTGTTCTCTCCTGTTTAAGACCCTCATGTGTTTGGTCAAATGACCGTAACAATAAAGAACTGAACTGACCCTCATGAGTGGAATATGGATTCTATGCCAGCCACCTCAGCTATTGGTGGGACAGACATATGATGCCATCTAACTTTAATTGGACTACATGTATTTCAATATTATGTATTTTATTATCTTATGTACGTTATATGTTGTACGCCACCCTGAGTCCCTGCTTGCAGGAAATGCAGCGGGATAGGAATCAAATCAAGTAAACTTTTAGCCCCACAAGTGCCAATGGGTCTCAAACAAGCGTGAAACAAGTCACACCTTGTTCCCCCCAGCAGGGACAGCCAGCCCTGACCGAAAAGGGAGAAAAATCACAATTCAGGGATTGGGAATGTGTGGCTAGCATGGAAGAAGAAGAAGAAGAGATTGGATTTATACCTTGCCCTTCACTTGGAGTCTCAGAGTGGCTTACAATCTCCTTTCTCTTCCCCTCCTCACAACAGACACCCTGCGAGGCAAGTGGGGCTGAGAGAGCTCTTTCGAGCACTGCTCTTGAGAGAACAGCTCTGAGAGAACTTGTAACTGACCCAAGGTCACACCAGCAGCTGCATGTGGAGGAGTCGGGAATCAAACCCAGTTCTCCCAGATTAGAGTCCACACTTCACCAAACTGAAATGCAAGAGCCTTTATGTGCAGGGAACCTGTGATGACTGAGAAGCTGATAACGTTTGGGAGAAGACCCCACTACAAAGGACCCTAAGCAGGAAGAGGATGCTATCTTAGCTGAAAGGTCACCCAGCAGCTGCATGTGGAGGAGTGGGGAATCAAACCCAGTTCTCCCAGATTAGAGTCCGTGCTCCTAACCACTACACCAAACGGGGGGAACTCACACACATCCTTTGCTGAAGGACTCATAAAACCCTACATCCAGTCCTGGGCATGATGCATTTATATTGTTTTTGCACTGCTCTGAGAAGTTTCGGGAAGATATTTTTAAAAATGACATCTTTCTTTGGAACAGCAAACAGCAATGAAGCCACCTGCAGGGCCCTGAAGACGGACTGAGCAATGACCTCACTCCACGGCCATTAAAGTTTTACAGCAGACTATAAAGCCAGAGTTTCAGTTCCCCTGATCTGAACATACCCATTGGAGTAAAACATGACATCCATAAGGAGTGTAGCGACAGAGGGAAGGGTGTCAGGATCCAAGCTGGTGACACAAAACATGTTACTTGGACTGGAAAGGGGATGAATCACGGGCCTCTGAACTGGAAGGGAGAGAGAGAGAGAGAAACTAAGCCCTTGTCCATCTTGAGGCGGCATATTTGGCCTATACCAGGGGTGTGGCTCAAAAATGATGGTCACAGTCACAGAACAGACCGAAAAAAGGAAGGAAGAAACCGTGAGGTAATTGCGCTAGAAAATATTTAAATAACAATCACAACATTCTTATACAAAAATGTGTACAAAAATCTGCATGTGTAAATGCACAAAGGCAGCTAAAATTGGTGAAATTGACGATGATCTACCGTTTCAATACTATTCTTCTTCCGAATGTGGATAAAAGCAGCGACTCTTGGTCTGTTATTTCAACAGGTACGTATCAACAATTTCATGAATTTTCACCGATGTATCATAACATGGTTGCAAGAGACTCTCTGAAAGAACGTTCCTAGGGCAAAGAACAAGAGTCGCTGCTTTTATCCACATTCGGAAGAAGAATAGTATTGAAACGGTAGATCATCGTCAATTTCACCAATTTTAGCTGCCTTTGTGCATTTACACATGCAGATTTTTGTACACATTTTTGTATAAGAATGTTGTGATTGTTATTTAAATATTTTCTAGCGCAATTACTTCACAGTTTCTTCCTTCCTTTTTTTCGGTCTATACCAGGGGCGGCCAAACTTGCTTGACATAAGAGCCACACAGAATAAACGTCAGATGTCTGAGAGCCGCAAGATACGAACAAATATTACACACATTTTTATTGGAAAATTATGCAAATTTGCTAAAGGGGACTGCCAAAAATAAAAACAAAAGGGGTAAAATAGATATTGATAATGATGTTTATTTGTCCAATGGTATTGATAGGCTGGGGGAGTGCTTTGAGAATGCGCTTAGAGTTAAAGTTGCTTTCTTTCTCTGCTCCCCTCTGCTTCAAGCCTACCCAGGGAGGGGAACGCTGGCTGGGGAAGGGAAGACCGATCAGGGAGGCACGCCTCCCCTTCGCTTCCCCAGCCGCCCTGCCGGGAGCCACACAATATGTGTGAAAGAGCCGCATGTGGCTCCCGGGCCACAGTTTGGCCACCCCTGGCCTATACCATTTGGGGGGGGGGGGGCTCATGGAACTTGCTCCCCCCACAAAAGACAACTCATTGCTCATATAAACAAGCTGGTCAGGAAAAAGTCCAGATAGAACTCTTCTCCCTAAAATGCTAGTTTTCTACATGCAGAAACAGTTTTTTCAAAAGACATGGTTAGTCTCCCCTAGTTTTCTACATGCGGGGAATTGTGCGCGGGGGACTGTTTGGTCACATTCTCCTCACTGCAGTCTGGACTGGTCGAGCTGAGACACGGGATTATCACGTCCCTCCACGCAAAAGGACTAGCTTTAAGACACGCCATAGCACAAAGAGAAGTTGCCACATCCCATTGGATCTTGGCTAACCCCAACTGGTTTCAAGTAGGCTTAATACCGAGTGTAAGTCTGCTTAACCACATGCTAGATCGTGCCTCTCTCAACAGCTATGTACTTAATTGGTCTTGTATCCTCCCCTCCCTGCAAGCAGGCTCAGGGTGGGTCCCATCCCTCTGAATACAATACACAATACAATTAAAAACAGTTTAAAACAACAATATAAAACGACATACTCATAAAGTGTCCTGTATAATTTAACCAGATCACAAGTCGGTGATTCTTGTATAGCTATTCAGATCCAGGCCATGGGTTGTTGGTGGTGGGGGGGATGGGATGGGACGTCTGCTGCCTCAGTCAAAAGGCTGGTGGAAGAGCTCCGTCTTGCAGGCCCTGCTGTTTTTGCTGAACTGTAATAAATCCCACAGGGCCCTGATCTCATACGGGAGCTCATTCCACCAGGTAGAGGCCAGGGCCAAAAAGGCCCTGGCCCTAGTTTAGGCAAGTCGGACATCCCTGGGGACGGGGACTACCGAAACATGTTGGTTGGTAGACCTCAGTGCTCTACAGGGCTCATATGGGGAGAGGTGGTCGCAAAGGTATGCTGGCCCCTGGCCGTATAGGGCTTTAAAGGTAAGCACCAGCACCTTGAAATGGATCCGGTATTCGATAGGCAGCCAGTGCACCTCGCACAGCACTGGGTGGATGCGAGCCCGCACAGGCGTCGCCGTCAATACCCATGGCTGCCAAGTTCTGCACTAGCGGCAACTTCCGGAGCTGAATCAAGGGTAGCCCCACATAGAGAGAGTGACAATAATCCAGTCTGGAAGTGACCATTGCATGGGTCAGTGTAGCCAGGTCGCCGGGGGTGTGTGTGAGATAAGGGGCCAACTGCCTGATCTGTCTCAGATGTAAAAAGGCAGACCTGGCAGTGACGGTGATCCAGGAACACCCCCGGACTCTTCACCCTCGACGTCGGGACCAATGGAGCCCCATCGAAGGTCGGGAGCCTGATTTCCTGTCCCAGCCCCCCGTGACTCAGATACAGGACCTCTGTCTTGGATGGGTTTAACCTCAGTTGGCTCTGTCGTAACTGTGGCTTGTGGTGCCGGCCACCAGTGGGGGATGGGGGAGAGTAGGGTTGCCAGATCCAGGCTGGGAAACTCCTGGAGATTTGGGGGTGGAGCCTGGGGAGGACAGGGACTCCGTGGGGCACAATGCCACAGAGTCCACCGTCCAAAGCAGCTATTTCCTCTAGGAGAACCGATCCCTGTAGTTTGGAGCTGAGATGTGATTCTGCGAGAATCCCCAGATCTCCACTGGGAGGCTGGCATCCCTAGCAGTGGCCGGTCTACGGCTACTCTGTAGCGAAGGCGCCCGGGTAGAGAGGATCGTACCCAGTTTTGGCTTCATAAATCCGTTCGTTATCCCGAGGCTGTCGGCCGCCACCGTCTCCCCATTCACGACTCTGAGGATGGTGAACTCCGCGGCCAGCGTGTGCATCACAAAGGGCAAGTCCCGCTCGCGCACCTGTCCGGAAGAGACGTTGACTTGTGAACAACCAACAGCATCATATCTTAACAGTGGCTGAGTCTTTTCTTGGTGAGACCCCACATGGGAGCCAGCGAGACTTCTGAATCACAAACACTGGTGTGGGTCCTACCCCACCCTATCCTCCTGCTGAGCAAAATCTATATATTTATTAAAATATTTACACCCCAACCCCCACCTTCCCTTTTGGCTCTAGTCTGACGTCTTTTGCTGACTGAAGAAGAAGAGGCTGGATTTATACCCCGCCCTTCACTACCCGAAGGGGTCTCAGAGTGGCTTACGATCACCTTTCCCTTCCTCTCCCCACAACAGACACCTTGTGAGGTAAGTGGGACCGAGAGAGCTCTGACAGAAACTGCTCTTTTTCAAGAACAGCTCTGAGAGAACTGTGACTGGCCCAAGGTCATCCAGCAGGTGCAAGTGGAGGAGTGGGAAATCAAGCCCGGTTCTCCAGGTTAGAGTCCGCGCACTTAACCACAACACCAAACTGGCTTCCTCCAACTTAAGTGGCTCTTTTTGCTGGAGGAAAATGTCAGAAGGAAGCCCCTTAGGCTGGAGTAAGGCTACCTGGAGGACAGCTGCATCCACCTCCATCAGCCTGTTTTATTTAAAAACATTTATAAAGTGGGGCGTGTGCCTGTCAGAAGCGGTGCACAGGGGAGGGGAACTGAACACTCATGCAACGCGCCCCTGCTGTGGTCAGTCTCCTGATATCATTCTCTCTCACACACCCCATCCACTCTACAAAGAACGAGTTAGATCAACTCGAAATAAAGTAGGGATGACTGGATTCTCTGGCTCCATTCTGTTTGGGATCTGATCCTCTGTTTGGGATCTGATCCTTCCAACTAGCTTAGAACATAAGAACATAAGAGAAGCCAATGTTGGATCAGGCCAATGGCCCGTCCAGTCCAACACTCTGTCACAGTGGGCCAAAAAGACCAGGTGCCATCAGGAGGTCCAGCAGTGGGGCCAGGACACTAGAAGCCCTCCCACTGCCTCCCCCCCAAGCACCAAGAATACAGAGCATCACTTGCCCCAGACCGAGAGTTCCTATCTATACCTTGTGGCTAATAGTCACTGATGGACCTCTGCTCCATATGCTTATCTAATTCCCTCTTGAAGCCGTCCATGCTTGTAGCCGCCACCACCTCCTGTGGCAGTGAATTCCATGTGTTAATCACTCTTGGGTGAAGAAGTACTTCCTTTTACCCGTTCTAACCCGACTGCTCAGGATAAGGTCTTCCAGAGCTTGCAGTCTTTGTAGAACTCCCGGAGTCCCACTGACTCCTACTCCGGAACTGATTTATCATGTATTTGCAGCCAGCTTGATGGCTCTCCTGTTCCCAACCCATGCTTTCGAGCACACTCTGGTAAAGGTAGTTTGAAGAATACCTGACAAATTGAGGTGGGAGGAGAGAATTCCCCCCCCCCCCATCAAGCTTGTAAACTGGATTACTATGCAGCAGCAGGCCTGTTGGAGGAGCGGGAATGTGTCCTGGATGTATTTATCTGAGCCAGAGATGAATGCAGGAAAGGTAATGCTCACGTCACATTGGACGTGGGCATTATGATCCGCTGAAGCTGGTCGTTCGAGCCAAAGGAACTCTGCCAGCCAGCATCTCAACTTCAAGCATTTCAAGTGTACACCTCAAAACACAACCTTTGACGAAGGTGCTGCGTCTCAAAAGCTACCGTTACTTGAAGGGTAACCCTCTCATGCCTCAGCCCTTGCTGGGGTCATGTTTCCTTACCAGGATGAAGTCCGTCTGGTAGGTGGAGAGCATGAATACTGAGATGTTCTGATCCGCTAGGGGGGCTATGACTGACTTGGCAATCTTGGTCACTCCAATGGGCTGGGAGCTGGAAAAGCTGCCCCCGCCGGACACCACGTTGAGCGCCAGCCAGGTGGCATCTGCCACACTCAGGTGTTCGGATGAAGGGAGCTCTGAGGAAAAACAACAACAAAAAACACCCACAATTATAATTTACCTATCCAATTGTTATCCTGTTCTTCTTCCAAGGAGCACAGGATCCCGTACAGGGTCTCCGCCAATTTTATCCAGGCAACAACCCTGTGAGGTAATTCCAGCTTAGAAATAGGACCTGACATAAGAACATAAGAGATGCCAATGTTGGATCAGGCCAAAGGCCCATCCAGACCAACACTCTGTGTCACACAGTGGCCAGAAATACCAGGTGCCATCAGGAGGTCCACCAGTGAGGCCAGGACATTAGAAGCCCTCCCCCTGTTGACCCCCCCCCCCAAGAACCAAGAAGACAGAGCATCACTTGCCCCAGAGCCCCTATCTATACCTTGTGGCTAATAGCCACTGATGGACCTCTGCTCCATATGCCTATCTAATTCCCTTTTGAAACCGTCCATGCTTGAAGCCGCCGCCACCTCCTGTGGCAGTGAATTCCATGTGTGAATTACTCTTTGGGTGAAGAAGTACTTCCTTTTATCCGTTCTAACCCGACCACTCAGCAATTTCATGGAGTGTCCACGAGTTCTTGTATTATGAGACCTGACCCAAGGTCAACAAGTGAACTCCAGTGGGGATTTGAATCTTGATCTCCCTAGTCGTAATCTGACACTGGGACGACCACAATTCAGTTTAATTCAGTTGAGGAGACAGAGATGAAGTTAGACATTCGGAAGGGAAATCAACATATTTATTTATTATTCTCATTTGTACCCCGCCTTCCCCGCAATGCAGGCTCAGGGCGGCTCACAGTCAATGCATAAATACAGTTAAAACAACATAAAATTATCTAAAAACCAAGTCGATTATAGCTAGTACAATTCCGTTATAGCGAATATAAATGAATAAACTGCTGATGATGGTTATTTAGTTGTTCAAGATGGCTGACTCTCACAATATACGTCAAAGATCTAGGAGTCATTCTGCTCATGATCTTCCTGCTGCACAGGCTAGGTGTCAAAACCAGAACCAAGGGCCAGGGCTCTATAGTGGTGGCGAATCCCTAGCTGAACGCCTGGCGGAAGAGCTCCGTCTTGCAGGCCCTGCGGAACTGTAAAAGATGTATGGAACATTTTGGTAATATCCGAAGATCGAGAGGTTGCTGGAGTGTATGAGCCTTTTGCTGTCCTGTCAAGGGCCCCTTTAATATCCTAGTTCGAAAACTGATTTAAAGAGGCAAATTCAGACAGCAAGCGATACCGTTTCAATCCAGCGACCGTTTGCGAGGCGATTTTGCCATTCCACACAAGTAAAATCCCGTTGCAAAGTGCATTGAAAGTGGATTGAAAGAGCGTTATTTCGTGTGTTTGAAAGCGAGTTTAACACGAATCACATGGCACCAGCAAATGCCCCTTATAGCTTCTAACCACATGGGGCACTGTTGCTTTGCCTCTGTCTGAGAAATGAGAGGGGCAGAAACTGCTAAGGCACCCTCAGCTTTGGGGTCTACCAATGGCTGCCTCCTCAGGTACTGACAGGTGACAGTGCATCAAATCTTATTTTAATTGCTGGGTTGAAAGGAATTTTTTTTTTGGGAGGGGGGGTCATGAAATTTTTCCAACAAGCAGGGCCGTAGCCAGGATTTTTTTGTTTTGCGGGGCAATTTTTTTTTCTTGTGGGGCACCTATTATGCTTATGCTTAAAAATAATAAATAACTGGAGACTTTGGGAGTGGAGCCTGAGGAGGACAGGATTTGGGGAGGGAAGGGACTTCAATGGGACATAGTGCCATAGAGTCCGCCTGGATATCAGGCATAATGCCAGGGGATCTCCAGCTACCACATGGAGATTGGCAACCCCAGCAGCCAGGAGGCTGGGGAAGGAAAGGAAAGCAGCCCTGCTGCTTCTGGTCAGTTTCATTCCCCTCCATCAGTTTGTAAACCTAACAGCTGATGGGGGGGGGAGTGAAACTGACCAGAAGCTGCAGGGCAGTTTCCCTTTGTTTCCCCAGTGGCTGCAGGGCTAAGCACACTGGGGTGGGGGGGTCTGGCAATGTTCCCTCTAAGCTGTGGAGTCTCGTGAGCAAAAATTCTACTTTGTGAGCTACTGGCATTAAAGTTGTGAGCCAGCCATTTGGCTCCTGCATTAATTAGTTTGCTCTGGAGCCATCCTTCCTGAGCTGAGACAAAAATGTGTGAGCTGGAGGATAAAAATCTGTGAGCTAGCTCACTCTAACTCAGCTTAGAGGGAACACTGGTGTCTGGCATCATCAGATGGTGGGGCAGGACTCATGGGTGGTGGGGCTCTGCCACCAATTGCCCCACTGTGGCTACAGGCCTGCCAACAAGGGGTATCCCTTATTCTAGGTCTGGTTTTTACTCAAATGAAAAAAATGTGTAGGGACTAGACCACTTTAAATGTCAGGTGGAAAATCTCACGGCTGAATGCTCCTCCTTACAAAAAATAAAAATCTGTGCTCCTTATGTACTGATTCCCTCCTTTATCCATGGCCTTATTTTTATGAAGTTAAGCAAGCAGCAGGCATATTGTCATGATTTAACTATTGGGTTCAATGTTAAAAAAATCAATTGCCTTGGAAGCATAGAAGCTTTACGCAGTATCCTCGATCCTCCACGTTTCCTGGTTAAGGGAAAATGCTGTTCAAACAAATTACAAAGATGATCTGACTTCAATGGAAACAAGAGAAAGAAATTTTACGTACAAAAATAGAAGCACATCTTACATGACATATGCATGTAGGTACATTTAAATTATTGTGAACAGATTAACTTCAAAAAGGTCAACTTGCTACTGCTCCAAGCCCATGTAAGAGAGAAGAAGAGAAGTCTTATGTAAGATGAAACACAGAAGGCAAGCAATGGCCAAGAGAAGAAGAAGAGAAGAAGAGATTGGACTTATACCCCGCCCTTCACTACCCAAAGGTGTCTCAGAGCGTCTTACAAACTCCTTTCCCTTCCCCGCCCCACAACAGACACCCTGTGAGGTAGGTGGGGCTGAGAGAGCTCTGACAGAAACTGCTCTTTTTCAAGAACAGCTCTTATCAGAACTACGGCTTGCCCAAGGTCATCCAGCCAGGTGCAAGTGGAGGAGCTCACATTAGCTTAGAGAGAACACTGCTCCACTCCCCCAAATTACCATGTATTTCCCAATCCAGACCTGATAACCCTAAAGAGGATGAGAGAGTGATCTACTATGGACAGCTTCTAGAAAACAAGAACAATAAATTGGAAGAGGTGTAAAATTTGAAAAGGAACCTTTTTTTGGCTTGTTCTGTATCTCTGTACTGGTGAAACAGACCAGCTTTTGTGATGGTATTCAGAGAACCTTGCAGATAATGTGGACAAAAGTACCTAAGGGCATTTTTACAATTTAAATCCTGACCTTTCTGAAAATTCAGAGGCTCCCCCCCCCCCCCACGCCACAAAGGCATGGAATATCCGTTTTCTAGCTTTTTGTAACTTACTTTGATTCCAGAGCAGTGGTTTTCTTCTATACAGAGACCCAGACATCCTGATGCAGAGGCTAGAAACTTTATTTCTTTGTTTAAAACACACAGACACATGCTATATAATGGTCCAGCACATTGGCATACATGTTTTCAAATTGCAGAATTCGACTGATCATGGCCGTGAATGCAGGTTACTGGAGTGCCAAGAAAAGAGGGGCTTAGCCATTTTAATTGTATGCACTTGTGATTGAGTGCAGAATTTAGAATCCCAAGTATGCACCACGCATGCTGCAGTCATGGAGTTCAAAATATGCACAGATGCCCTGACCTGGATAGCCCAGGGAAGCCCCATCTCGTCAGATCGCAGAAGCTAAGCAGGGTCGACTCTGGCAAGTACTTGGATGGGAGATCTCCTTGGAATACCAGCAGCCGGGAGGCGGGGGCAGGCTTTATTCAGCCACCTCTCTGAATATCTTCCAGGCCCCCAGTAGGGGTCAGTCACCAGAGGTCACCATGACTTCCAGGTGCACACACATGTGCACACATATTAAAATATGCACAGGTAATGGCTAAGACCTTCATTCTCTTGGACCAAAGTTACCCAAAACCATAAAACAGGACACAACAGCCTTCACTGGTGATTCCGTTAGATTCTCATAGTTAATAGCCATGGGTGGCCATAATCACCTCCACTGATTTCTAATTGTCCTTTAAAGACATCTGAGTTAGTGGCCATCCCTGCCTTTTGGAGTTGTGAACCTCATAAACGAATTATCCATTGTCATAGGGTTGCCGTCCTCTAAGTGGGACCTGGAGATCTCCCAGAATTGCAACTGATTTCTGGCTGACAGAGATCAGTTCTCCTGGAGAAAACGGCTGCTTTGGCGGGTGGGCCAATGGCATTGTACCCCCACCAAGGTCTTCCCCCCTCCCAAAACACTGCCCAGGGTCCACCCCCAAGTCTCCAGGAATTTCCCAAGTTAGAGTTGGCAACTCCAAATTGTCCGAGAAGGATTTGGTATCAGTTTCAAGTTCCTAGTCCACCATAGTAACAGTAAACATTTGTACCCTTTCAGTATTCAAGGTAGAGGTATTAGCATAATCCCTGAAAAGTAAACCAGTATTAGAACCAGTGTTCCCTCTAAGCTGAGTTAGTGTGAGCGAGCTCACAGTTTTTTAGCCTCCGGCTCCCACATCTTTGTCTTAGCTCAGGAAGGATGGCTCCAGAGCAAAGTAATTTATGCCGTAGCCAAATCGCTCGCTCACCATTTTAATGCCAGTAGCTCACAAAGTAAAATTTTTGCTCACAGGACTCCACGGCTTAGAGGGAACATTGATTAGGACCCCCACCTTGAGGAACTCAGGCTTTTGAGGCCTAAACCCAGCGAATGAGGTTCTTGTGGCCAAGAGGAAATTTCAATCAGTGACCTCCTAACACAGCCCATTATGCAATATCAGCGATCGTTCAAGGATAAGGTAGGAGGAGCCCCCTACGCACAATCCATCTACAGTATTAGTTAATAAATCCTCCAGTTCCATCAATCATTGAAGCCT